TCGCTTTGTTCCACTGTGAAATGTGTCTTTTTTTCCTCTGGTTGCTTCTTTAAATTATCAATAGATTTAAGATTATCATTATGATGTGCCTTGGGGTGGTTTCCTTCATGTTTTTACGCTTGGAGTTCATTGAGCTCCTTGGATCTGTGGGTTTTTAGTTTACACCAAATTAGGGAAATGATTTCTTCAAGCTTTTTTCGTTCTGCCCTCTCCTGTGGGGACTCCACGAGCGTGCATATCAGGCAGCTTGGAGTCCCACAGCTCACCGAGGCTCGGTTCAGTTTTTTGTTTTTTCTCTATTTTATTTTGAACAGTTTGTCTTCAAGTTCATTTACCATTTTTTCCGAGATGTTAAGTCCACCTTCAATCCCAACCAGTATATTTTGCATCTCAGACATTGTAGTTTTCATCTCTAGAATTTAGATTTGAATCTTTTAAACAATATCTTCGATGTCTCTACCAAACTTGTTCACTTGTCTCTAGCCAGCTCTTTGAATGATGTAATGCAATTGCAATGACGTCAATGCACCCACCAATTCTATCCTCTGGGGCATTTCTGGGTCTGTTTGTATTGACTAAAGGTCATATTTTCCCACCTTCTTGCATCCTAGTAATTTCTGATTGGACGCCTGACATTGTGGTTTTTCCCTGCTGTGTGATGGATAATATTGTATTTCTGTGAATATTCTGGAACTTTGTTTTTGGCTGCAGGTAAGTTACTTATAGTTTGGTCATTCTTTCAGGTTTTGCTTTCAAGCTTTGTTCAGTGGGACCAGAGATGTGTTTTGTCTAGGATTAGTATTTCCTTATGACTGAGGCAAAACCCATTTGAGTTTTACACCTGATGACCTGTTTCAGGAGGGAGGTTAAATCCAGACTCTGTTTCTCCGTCTTCACTGGAAGCAAACATTGTGGACTCGTCCACTTTTATTAGCGTTAAAAGAGTCAATCAGTGCCTTACGAGCTCTCGAAAACGTCATACCGCAGAGACTGGCCCTTCTCATCGGCACCGACGTCTCCTGCTGTCGTTCCACAGCCGAGGTCTCCCAGCTTCTCTTGCAGTCGCATGGGCTAGGTAGGGCTCAGCTCTTCCTGTGGGACATGGGCAGAGTCCACGTCACTCCCCTCCACTGAGATGAGGGAATGTGCTCTGGGTGACTTACATATTTTGAAACTTACTGAGGTTTACTCGACGGCCAAGCACATGATCTGTGTTGTTACCTCCATGTGCACTTGAAATAGCAAGTCAACTTGGTAAGTAGAGTCGTTCCAATTTTCTACGTTATTTCATTTCTCCCCTGATGATCCTGTCAATAACTGAGAACTGCATGGAAATATCCAACTGTGTTTGCTGATTCATTTCTCCTTCTAATCTAATCCTGTCAGTGTTGCTTAATGTCTTTGAAGCTATGCTCTTAGGTACATGCACATTTAAAATTAGTGTGTCTTCCTGTTGGATCGAACCCTTTATCACCATGAAATACCTGTGAAATTTAACTCTGGCAAATACACCCTTGTCTTGAAGTACACTTAGTATGATATTAGTCTTACCAAATCAACCTTGTTATGGTTGTATTTGCGTGTTATAAATACATTTCCCATTCTTTCACCTTCAATCTGTGTTTAAACAGCACACAGTTAGGTGTTTTATTTTTTATTCAGTCTAACGCCTGCCATTTAGGGAGTTCTTCGTCTGTTTAATGTGAGAACTGATATGGTTCACCTTCAATCTGTGTTTAAACAGCACACAGTTAGGTGTTTTATTTTTTATTCAGTCTAACGACTGCCATTTAGGGAGTTCTTCGTCTGTTTAATGTGAGAACTGATATGGTTGTATTTAAGTTCGCCATTTTCCTATTTGTTTTATATTTGCATTATCTACCCTTTGCTCTTTTCTTGCTACTCTTCTGCTTAGTTTGAATATCAATTACATCTCTTTGGTTTTGTTTTCTTTGGGGACTTATACGTATATTTTTAACTTACCACAGTCTGCCTTTGAATAATATGAGTCCTTGTGCAGAGCCAAATTTCTGTCCCCTGGGGGCAGGTTGATGACACTGGCCCCTCCCGTCACCCAGGGGATGTCTCATTGTTTTCACACACACCTACCCTGGGTGTGGGTCTGCTCTGACCTCAGCATTTCTGCCAGCGCTGTCTTCCTCACTGTTATGCCGCTAGAGATTTGTTACCGCAACAGCAGTGTGGTGACAGGCACACACTTGGAACTGCTTTTACCAGGTTCCCCGTCACCCAGCAGCAGTGGACCTGGGGGAACACGGGTGACTCCTCGGAGCTCCCGTTGTGCTGCCAGCTGGGACACGGGACCTGCAACGCTGGGCTGCTGTCCCAAGGGACGTGACGTGCTGTGAACTGTGGACCAATACACGGTGCCGTTTCACAGCCAGACGACGTCAGTGACACGAAGGGGTGGAATTAGGAATAGCTCTTGTGGCTTCACACCGAGCGATTGCCGTGGGGTGGCTGGCGTGTTACCGTTCACAACATCCCTCGCCGCAGCATCAGTGCCCTTCTCTGCAGGATCGTATACCCTGCTTGCTGGGTTCCGTGTGGCCATGGGATTCACCCCGGCCGGTGAAACATGGGCGGGCTTGGTGCATTTACTTCTGCGCAGAAAACCCAACATGCTCTTCACCATGTGACCGGCACAGTCCCAGGTGGGGCTAGGGGCTGCTCTGCCGGACCGGACAGTGATGACACTGAGCTGAGCTGCAGTGACCTGCCTGAGAAGGTGTGAGAAATCGGTCCGTGCTGCTGACCCCGACCTCAGTGCTCCGCCTTTGTTACTGTGGCGTGCAGTATCCCAAGTGGCTGGTAAGCCATTTACATGTGGACACAACTCTGGGCTCTTTTCCTTGGAAGGTCTCAGTTCCCCAGGATGGGATGCTCCTACGTGGGAGCTGGAAGGCCACATGGCCGTCAGCTGGGGGGCTCCCCATGTGTCTGAGCTGACAGGGCAAGACAAGTGCTCCACACGGGACAGGACGACGAACCCCTGATGCGGCTGCTGTCACCGTCGTCAGAGCCCCGCGGATTCTCTGGGTACTTCTTGGTACTTTCATGGATGATACTGTGACTATTAAAGGCAGGAAAAAGAGGCTTCAGACACTGGGGAATGAACCTTTGAATCCTCTCACCAGGAAAAAAAGCCCTGACCACCCAAGGTACTGGGTAGGGCCAAGGAGATGTGGAATGGGTCGTGGAAGGAGGAAGTTGTAACTACTGATCACAGTGCCATGACCAGCCACAGAGAGGAGGGCAGCAACCACGCAGTGTCTTCCTTGCCCGGCTGGGGCGTGCGTGTGCGTGCATGCATGTGCGTGCATGTGCCTTTGTTCGTTCACTTTGTTCGTTGACTGCTCGTTTTCCCCACTTCTCAGCACCCTGTTATTTTCAATAGGGAAT